CCAAAATGGCCGTTTTGTAGGCGTCCACAGCTTCTTCAGGTGATGAAAATCTCTGTCCACGCAATTTATTCTTTATTTTAGGGAAAGTATAGAAATCATTAGGGCTTAGGTCGGGGCTGTACGGCGGATGGTCTAATAATTCTATGTTTTCTTGCTCTAAAAACTCTTTTGTTCTGTGCGCGGTGTGAGAACTCGCATTGTCGTGATGGAGGATGATGCGGCGGTTGCAGTTCTCTTTACGGAGTTCAGAAACGACCTGTGGCAAACAAATGCTAGCATACCATTCTGCATTAACCGTTCTTTGTCCCTCAAGAGGAATAGTCGTAACATGGCCGGTTTTGGAGACAAACGTGGCCACCATTTTTTTTGCAACACTCCGTGAACGAACAATTTTTGTTGGCTTTAACTCATTTTCGAACACCCAAACTCGTGACTGGTTTTTTGTTTCGGGTTCGTACGCGTATATCCAGGATTCGTCACCTGATACAATGTTGTATACAGCATTTGAGGATCCTGCGTGGAATCTTTCGAGAGTTCTGACGCACCAAGTAACGCGAGCCGCTTTTTGCTCTTCACAGAGCGAATGCGGTATCCATCGGGAAAACAACTTTTTTACACCTAATTGTTCATGCAAGATTATTTGTATTTGACTCATGCCAATGTCTAAAGTTGCCTGAATTTCGCGGTATGTCACATGTCGATCTTCCTCAATCAGCTTACGCACAGCATCAACGTTTTCTTGGGTGACTGCAGTTTTTGGACGACCTTGACGGGGATCATCACTGAACTTGACACGTCCACGTTGAAACTCAGCAAACCAGCGATAAATTGTGGTTTTGGATGGGGCCTCATCACCAAATGCAGGAATCATCCGGTCAACACACTGTTTTTGTGTTAAACTACTTCGAAAGTCATAATAAATCATCGCTCTTGAATTTTCTCGAGTCAATTCCATTTTCTCAACGACTAAACAAGTTTGACCAAACCTCGTGACAAGACCGAGAATCTTTTTTTAAATAAATAAATGGTATTCGATTTTTAAAACCAAGGAGTTTTCAATTAAAAAGATTTTAATATGACAGGAACAGTGGAAATATTCCATTTCCGATACTTTTAGTGCAGCCTAGTAGCAGTTTTAAACAGAGTGAAATGTGCTGGATTGAAGTGAAGTGTGGTAGTCATTGTAGTTTTTAAAATCTTTCCATTTGCTACTGTGGCGCCACCTGAAATGGCTCCCTTTCAGCGAATACTTTTAATACACTGAGATGGTACTCCTTAGTTCTATCCTGCATAGTTCAATGGCACGTTTAGTTGAAGGTGATGTCGCGTGTTTTATTTCGGAGCGCTTGATCTCATTAAGTGTATCACGCAATGCCCCAGTGATTTTTACTGTCCAATATACTTGATGTTCCTCACGCTAATCGCTTACCATAGATACCACAACGTGAACGCACTCATTTATCATACCTTTCGCCTGTCACTAAAAAGTATTGCTTATGCACTACTAATGCTAATTGATATTGTTACGTGCTGGGGTTCGGGATAAATAAAATTCCACAAAAGTACAACTAAAAACTGTATTCAACACTTAGAAGACTTAAATCACTTCACAAACACTTTAAAATTCTCAATTCGCTTCTTCCGCTTCGCTTCAGGTGATCCGTTCGCTGTTTCGCTTCGAGTATTTCCGATTACTGACTGACTGCGTGCCATCTATGCAACGCTTTTATAGTCGATACCACATCCTTAGAATTATCGAGAATATTTCACACATTTCTAGTATTGTGTTTCCGCTATCTGACAATAGATGGCGTAGTATTTCTCGAGAGTTCTAGATGCTACTAGATCCGTCAATATTCGTTCGAATTTTCGGCGATAGATGGCGTTACTCTTACCGGCGTAACAATATGTGAATTTGATTACAACCAGAGTTTTGCCTATAGTTTAATAAAAAATATTTGAAAGTGCTTGAGACATCTCAAAAGCCATACGCGCTTTTATTATTACCTGTGTTATTCTTTTCAAGTATTGAACAGCGATTAGCGCTTGAGTAAATAATTTATTATACATCCACAAGTAACAGTCTGAACTCGACGTTTGATACGCAGCAGATACAGACTGAGTACAGGTAGATACTGTGCTTAGTGCGAGTTTTTTAACGTCCTCGATAGTGTAAAGCGCCCCTAGCGGCAAAATCAAGCAAACGTTCCAACTCCAAACAAATTTGAGTTAACTTTTCCGCTATCGAGAACGTTAAAAAACTCGCACTAATTCTGTACTAAAAGGTACCACCATTTATTGCGATGTCTATGTGTTCAACCCCGAGTGGAATTCGAACTCTTTCACTTACGTATGACAACATGAAGAATGTTATCAAAACTGGGTTCGCAACTCGTAAATACCTCATGAAAACTACAGCAATTCATCATCATCATCTCAGCCTGTCCACTCTGAACATAGGCCTCTCCAATTGATGTCCAGTGCGGACGGTCCGTTGCCACCGGCATCCAACGTGACCCGGTGATTTTCACCAGGTCGTTTTTATTTATTTATTTTTATTGCTTTGATGGGTCGACGAGCCCACAGCCCACCTACTGTTAAGGGGTTACTGGAGCTCAGAGACATCTACAACGTAAATGCGCCATTCACCTTGAGATATAAGTTCTATGCTCTCAAGTATAGTTACAACTGCCCCATCCTTCAAGCCGAAACGCATTGCTGCTTCACGACAGACATAGGCAGGGTAGGGGTGGGGTACCTACCCGCGCGGGCTCACAAGAGGTCATACCTACCACCAGGTCGTTAGTCCATTTGGCTGGTGGCGGTCCCACACTGCGCTTACCATTACGTGGTCTCCACTCAAGAATCTCTCTGTCCCATCGGCGTTTAAAACTACAGCAATTATTTGTGAAATAAATTTTAGAGCATCTCTTAAATTGAAGTTCATATCTCGCAATAAACGAATATTGAAGCGGTCCGTCAGTAAAGGTTAACGACCCTACAGCGTATCACAGTCGCCGTTCAATATATTCACTTTTTTTTTTATGGTCCACTTCTTTCATTTTAATGTCATCGGGCGAATGAACGCTTTTCATTTATTATCTATTCTAATAATTGTCGGCAAAGCGTTATTACTATCATAAAATGACATGTACTTGTTGATGCTTCGATTCTCACAAATCGTAGACACAATGCCTTAATCGTGCTAACAGTCGACTATTTTTTTAATGAATAATTATTTTATAATCCATTGCTTATTGCTTTATTTATAATAACTTGGTATAAATACAAAATTAGTCTATGGTTGGCGTAATAATCAAAAGTAATAAAAGAGGTCGATTATGATATAATTTTTTAATAAAAACTTAAGAAAATACGATAACAATTTACAGTATTTTACATAATGATAAAACAAAAATTAGCATTTTTATTACAAACTAGCTGACCCGGCAGACTTCGTCGTGCCTCAATCGATAAATAAAAACCTAAACTTTTGTATAAAATAAACTTAAAAAAACAAAAGGAATCCATCCGACGGGGGACACATCAAAGGAAAAACAAAATTGTGTGTTTTATATATAATTCCGAGCATTTTCATATTTTTTCACCATTTACATCTTCTCTAGACTTCCACGAATAATTCAAGACCAAAATTAGCCAAATCGGTCCAGCCGTTCTCGAGTTTTAGCGAGACTAACGAACAGCAATTCATTTTTATATACCTATATATAGTTGTACACTTTTGATAGTTATCAATGAGTAGCCCACGAACAGGCGCATGGTTTTTAGTGGTTACAGAAGTCCATGGACACCATGACATGAGTGCGGCTACCCCCCATTCAATTGAAGGGTCACAGTTTTTTAATACACACTCAACGGCTATCCCACACTTAAAACCAGCAGAATAGTAGTTTTAGAAGGACAATTAATTTATAGTTTAGTCTGGTTGGTTTTTTGTAACCATAACCATAGTCCGGCCCCTCAGTACATCGCGCTCTCCCATCGATCTTAAAATTCACAACGACAAGTCCTTATAGTCATAGACTAACCAAAAACGACTTAAGTGCGCAGGTAGGTACTAATCCTTGTTCGCACTTAAATATTAAACGAAATAATAAATTTTATCTCGTTCTCAGCGAAATTTTTAAAGTGCGTTTCGGTAAAAATATATTATTAGCACTTGATAAAAAACACTCGATCCCGACCATTCATATAAAAATAAGTAGCTCCATAATCTCTACTTAAAACGAAGATCCGTGTAAACAAAATGGCAACGAGCAAAATGGCGGATTTTCATACGGTTACGTTCCGGCGATTACGCGGGAAAGGTCTATTCCTTTTTTTTCGCGGCAATTTCGCTCGTTTCACGTGGACTTTTTGCGGCCAGTTTTAATCGGTGTTGCCATTTTAGAGGGCCGACGGAGCCATTCCGTTTGCCCGGTGCGTTTTGTGTTTCTTTTTTTTTTACGTGAAACTGGCATTTGTGTCATCTGCCGTGTCTTATGAACCGAAATAAAACTTTTGTAAAATAGAAAATGTTTTGTTTTTCTTTCTTATGAATATTGAAAATGTTCTGAGACACTTTGAGAACGAGTTTTTATATTGAGAACAATAGGTAGAAAATTATCAGGGAATTTCAAAGCATAGTTTTTATCGTAATTGTATCATAGAACAACGCGGCCTTATATTTTGAGGCCGAGCTATAAGTAAAAATCTCCATTGTATTCGAAAAACGCTTATCGTATTCTCTACAACCTCACTGACGACTGCAATATGGCAGAGATCGATAGAACAAGAAAGCGTACCTAACACGCTATACCACTGGTTATTGTAGAGAAAAAATATTGGTATTTTTTATTGCAGCGAAAAGGCCACACAGTTTTACGTCTACCCAAGCCATCAGAAACGTGTTTACCGTCACGAGTCTGGAAACGTAGTCTAATAGGATTGTATACAAACCAAGAATTATTTACTCATAACGATTATTTCTTTTTTTACAGGACAAAATAACGAAAATGGTGGGATGACGTGTGAACAATGTTGCTACAGTCGTCGCCCGGTACCAGCGGCACGGCTAGTCCAAAACCCGCTCCGAGTCCAAGGTCTAGCACTCGACATGATGGAGCTTCGAACACCCCGAATTTGGGCGCCAACAGCCCTAATTTGGGGGCGAGTCCTAAATACGGGAGTCCGAGACTGGGAGGGAGTCCTCGGCCCGGGAAGACGGCGGAGGAAGACGAGATTGCGCTGGAGAGGCTACAGACCGAACTGAAGGAGGGATGGACTGTGCACACGGGTCGCGACGGCAGATTGTATTATTGCAAGTAAGTGGCTTTTTTTTTACTAAAGCATCGTACAAACCTAATTTTCTTTACAACGCCGAGCAATCTTCAGAAAATATATAATATAGCGCTATCAACCTACGGTAAATTGTACGTGAGTGTTATTCGTAAACAGTAATAGTACGCAATGAAAATAGTAAGCTTTAAAAAGGGAAATATTTATCCGGCTAAAGCCTTTTAGATAACTATGTGCTTTGATTTACACAAAGGCTATGTGTTTACCGGTGAACAATGAGATGACAATGGCTAGGTAAACCGCTTCGTCGGCGAGTCTGAACATACGTTTGTGGGACAATATTATGTCCCCTGAATTTTACCTAATAGGGTTGACGCAACTCACTATAATTTAGCTATTTTAAAGGATTTGTTGTGTACATGCCATTTTGACTTGTCTTCAATTTGGCGGTGATATTCATATTGTTTTGAGGCCATTTGACTTCGGTATTCTAGTCAAGTTGCCAGATTATGAAGAAGTCTTAATTTTTTTTTATTGCCCTTGTAAGCAGACAATCATACGGCCCACCTGATGGTGAATGGTTACCGTCGCCCATGGACTTCAGCAATGCCAGGGGCAGAGCCAAGCCGCTGCCTACTTACTTACTTAATTGTACTATTAAAGGTAATTTTTAACGACATTGGCTGACAAGTTCACGGCACGTTTGTAAACGGTTTCCGCAGGGCACAGATAGCTTACGGACTGATGGCCATTACGTTATAAGTCCTATAATAAAATAATAAAAATTAAAACAACAATGCACGAACAAAATCGGCAAAAGACATGAAAACTACAAATAAATCAGTTTATGTCGAATGAAGGTTGTTCTATAAGCACGAACCGATCCGCAGTTTTCAATTTGTATGTAAATCGAGCTTCCGAGGTTAGATTAGTATAAAGAAAAACCTTTTGTAGAAGAGTCATTTAAACGAAATGCATTTTTGTGTCTTGTTTATTCAACCTTGTTCGTAAAAGCTACCGTTTGCGGCAGTTTGACTAAACTTTTAAACGTAGCTTAAAGTTAGCGTTAAAATTTTTAAGCGTAAAACGTAGCGTCATGTTGACGCTTTTAAACATTACTAGAGGTCCCGCATTAGTCGAAATTCGACTGTAATTAATTGGAATTGTAAGTTTGTACACTATTATGATTGTATTTTATACTTCTATAATTACAAATTTCGCCAAGACTACACTATAAAAAATATTAACAAAGACAAACAATATTTAAGCTATTCTCAATTTGACAACAGACGTCAAGAACAAAAGTTTGACAATAAATAGTATGCATGCGTGTGTGCGTCAAATACATGGTATGTAGTGTGTGTAATGTTTTCTTTATTGATTTAATGTATCTTTTATGCATTATTTTCAAAAAATATTAGCATTGTGTACTTCTTCTCTATATTCTCTATAAGTGTGGAAAATTTCATACTCCTCCGTCTGCGCAATTTTCGTAAAAAGGGATACAAAGTTTTTGCTTCACGTATTAATATATAGATAATATATGTAATTTCGAGTTAAAGTCAATTTTATGGAAGTGGCGAAAACACTCAATTATTTATTGAAAGTTGTGTAAAATGGCATGCGAGAGAAATCACTAGACCTATCTCGTTTCTACATATTTTTTTCTTTAGAAATAGAAAATTCAACTTCAAAAATGACGCTATTACACAGAAATTAAAAAGTGTTTATTTCTATTCACTCATAAATAAGCGTTTAGCATAACAATGCTTATATTAAACACATCTCTATTTGGAAGAGATTTATGTATATATATAGAGACATATTAGATACTTCAACAACAATGTGAACTGTACAGTTTGAATAGTTGACAGAGATATCCGTCCTTACCTCTCTGATGTCAAGAGTTTATTCATTAACAATTTAATATGAGTTGTTACCTAGTTGTTGTTTATTATGAGTAACAAATGTGTTTTAAAACACGTTTGGCCCTTGAAAACTCACCTTTGTTGACACACACATACATATCCAGGACAAGTAAAGCCTCGATTATGAATTATCATTCCTCATCACCCACATCATGAACATAGGCCCCTCCAATTGATGACCAATGCGGCCGATCCATTGCATAACGATATTTTTTTAGACAAGGATAAGAACCCTGAACTATATAGCTAACTTATAGCTAACTAGGATATCGAATAATAACATTTTTGTAGGTCCACACCCTAACGAAATAATCATTTGAATCCATCATTTAAACGTAGAAAAGATTATGTACCCAAACAGGGATCCTTCATTTATGAATCGATTGAGTCGACGTCATCAAAACAATCGAGATATTGTGAATAATATCGATATTATACAAAATCGTAACGCGACTCCTCGCCTGTTGTGGGTTGGGTACTTTGTATTCCGTTTGCCTGTTACCTTCAGGGCTCGTTGGTCACAGACGGAAACGCGCCCATTAATAGCGAACTTCGAACTTTGGAACTCGACAACATTGTTATTCTTTTGTTAACAGTTACCGTGAACAAGGAAATTATGATGATGACTTTGTCTACGTTATAAAATATGAGAGTTGCTCTTTATTGCCATTAGGCCATTTTGTTACTGGTGGTAGGACCTCTTGTGAGTCCGCGCGGGTAGGTACCACCACGCTGCCTATTTCTGCCGTGAAGCGGTAATGCGTTTCGGCTTGAAGCGTAGGGCAGCCGTTGTCAATACTTGAGACCTTAGAATTTATATCTCAAGGTGGGTGGCGCATTTACGTTGTAAATGTCTATGGGCTTCAGTAACCACTTAATACCAGGTGGGCTGTGAGCTCGTCCACCCATCTAAGCAATAAGAAAAAGGCCGACGAGCATACGGTTCAGCTTGTGGTGAGTGGTTACTGTCGGTCATGGAAGGTGTTATAATGCCAAGGGCAGAGCCACTGTCGCTGCCTACCCCTTAGTACATTCAGTAAGACTCGTTTGAAGATGAACATGCCATAGCGCTCAGGAAACACCGTGTAGGGAAGTTCATTCCTAAGCTGACGGTTATGTGGTAGGTAGTATTAATGAATTTTCCTCCGATGGCGGTTCTACTAGGGACCAGTGGGGTAGCTATAACTCTTATAGAACACGTGTTCTCCTTTTGTATTTTGCTATTTAAATATTCTTCCAGAAATTGTGATCCTCACTATGCAGTGAATAGTTAAAATAAATCGATACTAAACATTTTCCACTCTATGATTACGCACAATAATATTTTTCGGTTACAAAATCTTCGATTCGGTATCAGCGGTAGAAGACCGCCGGCCCACATTTGTCGGCGTGCGCGTTTCCAATACACGAACGATTTATGGGTTACAATATTAATTTGATTATTAAATTAATAAAATAGAACAAACAAAATGTTTTTTTTTTTTTGTATTTCGTTGAGTATGTTTGAACACAAAGTTCGATGCTTAACTAAACTAATTTGGATATAGTTTAAAGATAATATTAAGCTAACAGTGTTTGTTCAATTAATTTGGTTGGAAGACAAAAAAATATAAAAGAAAAGGTAGATAACTATGTATGCATTTATAATTTGAGTTGATTCCATTCAAACTTTAAGTAAGTCTAAGTAGTGAGGATGAATAAGGATATCACAGTATTTACAGGTTACAGTTTTATTTAGCACCAGATGAGACGCGAGCTAGTCTGCCAATTGGCTTCATATTTAAGACAGTACAAAGTGGGAGTCTGCTGTCGTGCAAAATGGAATGTTTCTTTGTGACTTTATCTACGCATCGAATATTGTCCATTTGGATTTTGTTAATTAAACATCATTATGTGCTAGTTGAATATCAGCTCTGCTACATGAGATTCAGAAGAGAAAGCATGATCCTCGATTTACCCAAAACATTAGGTTTTTAAATAGTAAAATCCTGGAGAATTCATCCCGCATTGCGCTTACTTGTGCGTGCTCTTTGTGCAAGGCATCGGATTATCCATTGACTATTAGATATCTGACAACGATAGCCAAACTATTGCTGGTACGTCTACTAAGCATTAAATAAGCGATGCTCAATCGTAACCGACTTTCAATTGCAGGCATGTCCTGCTTCAGACGAAGCTTGTGAAGAGTACTTAACGGTAGGCAGCGGCTTGCCTCTGCCCCTGGCATTGCTGAAGTCCATGGGTGACGGTAACCATTCACCATCAGGTGGGCCCTATGCTCATCTGGCTACAAGAGGAATAAAAAAAAAGGCACGGCGATTACAGTTCACATGCAAACATCTCAAACATACTGCTGACTGAGTCTTTGCTTCTGGATGAGCCTTAGCTCGTTCTCCTGTACTGGTGAAACTTGAAGGTCTTCCGGGTCATAAACAATTCTTCATTAAAAAAAAGAACGATGAACTCATACGTCATGAGTGTTTTTCTCGTATCGTTCTTCAAACAAACAACGAAAACCCACCGTAACCCGTAGAAGCTTTTATGCCATCAAGTTATGATTTATGGATGTGTAAAACTGCTTTCCTCTGTACCGAAGTACTGTCGGTTCCATTAATGTTCGGGATTACGTAAAATTAAGTGGGCGTCCATCTTTGGGGCGTTGATAACATCTTAGTGACAGATCGTAATGAATTGTTACAGTTCTGTTCCGAATATAGAACGATGACGTGTTTAACGGATTGCGAGGGGTCAGGTTGGGTATTTCAATGCAATAAGGAATTCAAGTACTAGTCTTTTGGGGAATGAAGTATCTGACAGTTCATGGTGCTAGTTTTTTAATACGACAACGAGGCTATTATATGGTTGTGTAAATATCTTTTATTGCTTAAATCACGGGCCGCTTTCTGATAAGTAGTGTTAACTACAAGTAGTGTGTAGTGTGAGTTTTTTGGGTTTATATTTTTTTACTAATTCCCCATTTTCTATGTGAATAGTTGTTAATCTACGCACTAAACTAGCAAGATGTATTTGGAGAACAGCCTGTGCTTGCCAAGGTTTCAAATCTGTACCGTCTGCGCTAACATGGCGCGATTTTTGAC